GTTGCAATTATTAACACAATTTTTTTATACAAATATTATTATTTCTTATATGATAACCTATTTAGATGCAATAAATATAAAATTGAAAAAGTAATTAGATCTTATGTGAAGTCATGGAAAATCAAATGCAAGTTTATTTATTATTTTTATCGTATAATCTATGTATTATTGATACAATAAGTTGAGTGCTAAAACTACTAATAGGATATTAAAACGACATGTTCATTTATTCACAAAACTATTCAATGACAGCACTTTGGCAAGTGTTTATATTATTTATATTTTATATTTTATATTACATATATATATATATATATATATATATATATAATAGCGCTTTTACTATGTTAAGTGATAAAATTACTTAGTCATTGGGTACACGAATCTTCTTACAGGATTTCCATATTTATTATATTCATACACGTGTAAACTGAATAGTGTACTTTATCTTAAGTCATTATTTATTACAAATTAAACATTAATTAAATATAAATTATTTATAATAGCTTTAGATTCGAACAAAAATACATAAAATCTCTATCCTTTAAAAAAATTTAAAAATTATTTTGTGTTTATAAGCATTAAACACAATATCAAATATAAATTTTTAAATATTTATCATTATTTTTAACTATTTAAGTAATATTATTAAAATAGATATTTAATAGGTATTTAATAATTTTTAATATAGTTTTTAATAAAAATTGTATGCAGTGTATAAGCATACTTTAATAAATCACAAATCGTTTTCCTAAAAATTTATTTGAAACCTGAAAATCCAGTCTTTCATTTTTTATGGATGCTGGAACACGCGAATTAGTTAATCTGATTTAAAATAAAATTGTATCTATTTATTTATAAGTGGCTTGTCTCCCGATTCCTATTTAGCAAAGCTATATGATAAGTAGAATCTTGTTTATGTAATAAGTCATGTTTACACTGTGCAAGTACACTGTACTGTAAAATAATTTTGATTTTCCACAAGTCAATTTTAGAAAATAATTATTTTTTTATTATATACATTTAAATTAAAAATTTAAATAGTTTTTACTCGTTATATTTTATACTAGTTAAACAAAAATAGTTTTTGTGTCTGCAATTTTCTTTTGAGCAGGAAAAACACTTCAATCATCAAATTTATAAAGTTAGTTTTAGTAACAAACTTGATATAGTTCACTAAACAGTACTTTCTCAATACTTTTTCAAAATAATCCAAAGAAAAAAATTATAAAAAAAAATGTGTTCAACAATCGGTTTTATTATTTCATTATAATTCAAAAATAAATTATTATAGTTATTGGAAATTTTAACCAAATATTTATGAAGTTATATTATTACGAATAGACAAAAATAAGATTTTTTTACATTCTTTTTTGTGATATTTTTATGTAAGTCATAGACATGAATCTTAAAATTAAGAATTCTTAATCAACTATGATAACTTGTAATATTTATTTATAGATGATTTACTTTTACGAATATACCGTATTCAAAGAATTTAACAAACTTATTAAATTATTTTAAAATGTTTATTTGTTTTTTTTTTTTATTTTATAGAGTTACACTATGGTAACTTTAATTATTAGATTTGGTATATAAGATTAAATATAATTGATATGTCTTCTTTTATCTAAGTACATATTTTACGTTATACCTGATGTAGATTATATTACCGTCATTTTCTTAATAATCGTAAATACATTTTTTCAAATTAAATACGCAACCTTGGCAATCATTAAAATTTACAATACAGTAATTGACAATGTATTGATATGCGTCCATATGGATCATTGTAATTTTATCTTTATACCTGTTATACTATATTTACATAATAATGTATTAAATTTTCAGAGATAGTCAAAGACAATGATTGTTTACAGCGAAAATTATGTATAAAATATAGCAATATCATATATAAGTACACTGTTTACCGTAAAATAAATGCATTTATTATATTTATTCTTTAATATCATTCGACTCTTAAATTTTGTTAATTTTACATTTTACTATAGGTTCTTATGGAGTTCAAATCTATTATTATAATAGTCTTTGGTATGTATTTTAACTATAGGTCTTAGTCTAGAAGTGTATATTTAGGAAGGAAAAACTAAATTTAGCACACTTTAACATAAATTTATTAAAGGAAATTTACTATAGAGTTGAAAATTAAACTTAATTAATAAAATAATGAAAATAAAAAACTTAGTAAATTGTCGTAAAATTTGTCATTTTTAAAAAAAATATTGTTTTTCCATTTTATTACCAAGTTTTTTTAATAATTTTGTCTGTGTTTATTTCGACGAAAAGATCGGTAGTATAAAATCCAACTTTTTTAGTATCACGGAATATTATTGATTTAATGAACTTAAAAAGTAATAAGTAATTATGGTACTAGTACAATGTGTTTACAAAAAAAAAAAAAATCAAGCCGGATCCATTTTCTATATTTGTCAAATAAATACGTCCATGGGTCTTACCTATAAAACGATTACACAATATAATTTCTATGAAGTTTTTATTGACTTCAAACGTTTATATAATGCCAACAAAATAACAAATTTTCGTTCTCTAATAATGATTCGTCGAAGGAGTTGCAACTTTTTAGTTGGAACCAACATGTAGAATAATATTGAAAAATATACTGATATATTATATATTCTAGTAAAATTGTAATAATACATTTAGTATGATAACTTTAATTATGTATAGACGTATTTTAATAATAATTTTTATTTGAAACACAATGCTTAAGCTGAAAGTAATGATTTTACTTGTAATAATCAAATCTTCGTAGTTGTATCAGTTCTCATTGTGCATAATATAATATTTAGCTATAATTTAATAAAAATAAAATTGAATACTTATACAAAGAGCGCCATCTTACCACAATAATAGAGACTAAATTATATTTAAAACATGATTAAATGCAATTTTTATTTTCAGTTCCTGTATCTTACAATAATTTTTATTTATTTTGTTTTCAGTTTTAATAATTATAAGTAAATAATAGATCATTTATAAACATTAATATATGGTAATACCATATTTATTCAAAAAATTACAATATTCACAATTTTTTAACTATCATTTTACTACTCGATTTGTATTATATTCCAGCTTTTAATAATTGGTTTTAATTTTTGTATACATATTACATTCAGTTGAATAATTAAATATTAAAAAATTTAAATATATAATTAAAATACTCATTTCATTAGTTGATCCGCAACTACTAGGCAATCTAGTAATTATGTCATTGATTTAATTCAGTACAAACAATTTTAGTTATTTTTATAAGATAAAATTCCAATGAAAATAAAACTTGTTAAACACTACACTCCATATGTATAATTAGAGCATTAACATCAGTTCTTTGTTTTCATCACGGCGATATCAACGCAAAATAGCTAATGCATATTATTATTTTGAATAATATAATTAATTTTTAGATACAAAATAAATATATTTTACCTTTTGCTGACATGAACTATTAATTTTCTTTTTTTCTTTTTCACGAAAAAAAGTGTATTTTACAATGTTAACTGAAAATCTGACAACGTTGTACGTGACTTTTAGTTTCTTGTCTATCAAATTGTTAATTTGAATTTTTTAATGAAGTTTTGATTCATTAACCAAAATTGATAACAGCGGAAACACTATACTATAAAGAATTTATAAATATATCATATTTGAGAGTAGTTTAAAGTTTATATTATGACATGTAAATATGTAATTTACAAAAATATTTTGAAACATTTGTTTAACGCCACCTATTTTGGATGTAGTTCAAATTACTTTTTAATTTTTATTTGTCATCATTTAGAACAATTTTTTAAATTCTTGTTAAAATTGGTTGAATAATTTTTAAATCTAAAAATCACAACCATACTCACATTACTTTGTATATAGATAAATAAAACAGTTTTTTTTTTTAACTTACTTTTTTACATTTACGATATAAATGATATATCAAACTGTTTTTTTTTCTGAAAAGAAAGTTATATATTAATATAATATTACAAAGCATCAAATAATTATGGCGATTGATGACAAATAACTAGTTCGGTAAGGCTAACTAATGTGTTGCAGTTATTTTGGAAAATGCAATAGAGTTTTATTTGACAAAAAAAAAAATAACACAATAATAATATCGACAAATTTAAAATAATATTCTACATAAGGTATACAATAATCATATTTTTTATTATTATTGCAAACTTATAAAATTGATTCTTCAAATTTCTTACACAAATTTTTAAAATATAATTAATTTTTTTTTAAGATTAATATTTATAATATTTTAATACTTGGCGTGACCAACATATGCCACTTCTGGCGTGCGTGACATAAATTCTTTATCCCTGACTTATACAAATTTTCTATTAAAATATTATTAGCTTATCCATTTGACTAAAAATTTGTAACATATTGGACATTCGTTATTTTATTTTTATACATAATTATTCTCAGAAGTATCCTAAGTTAAAATTTAATAATTGAGACAGTCGGAAACAGAATAATTGGGTAATCGTCTTCTTTCGTTTTCCTCAGCAGAATTTTGTAGAAGTATATTAATACCATAATTTCCATAGTTCTATACTACACAATCTCTTTTTTTTATCTTTTATGTAATACTAATTTATTTAATAAATAGAAATGTTGTAATACTATTTGGTCTGCTGTTATTAATGAATATAAATCAACAAAAATACAAATACATTTGTACTTTCTTTTTTTTTAGAATTTTAGGTAGCTAGGGTTTTATAGTAATATTTTACTCGTAATTTACTATTTGTTATGTAGTATGATAATAAAGAGCTTAAATATAAATCTCAAATCAATCTTAAGTTATAAATATAAAGGAACGAACATTTTTTTTTTTGCTCATCAACCCTTTTAAGGAAATTTCAAATGAGCCGTATAACTAATTATTGTTGGTTTTTTCTTGAAGTTTTTGTGAAATTTTTTTTGGTATAGAAATGAAATAAATACACATTTTATTTGTTTTTTAAAGACGTATTATATTATGTATACGTGAGTTCATGTTTACAAATGCGAACGATAGTAAATAGGTAGTAATATAATAATATAATAATAAATGTACAATAAATAGTATAGGTACAGTACTCAATAATGACAATACGATGCAGATTGTCTTAAAAAATGTAAAGGGTGAGATGAAGATTGATATAAGCGAAAAGGTTTAAATGAAATTATTTTAGGACGATAGAAGCTGGTCGGTTTTCAGGAGGTGACAATGATGGGGTTATTTACTGGTACACTGGTTCGGGTGTGCTGGGTAGAGAAGCCAACAATTTGAGAGACTCTTGGATTTCTGCTGGGATTGGCGGTGGAGTTGGCAGATGGGCGCCGACTGGCCGGTAACCGTTCTCATCCGAGATGTAACCAGTTGAAATGACCGAACCGTCTGGAGCCACGTAGGAACTGGCGCCCTGGACCACGGAGACTGGGTAACCTTCAGGGCCAGCCTTCAGGTAACCGACTTCTTCTTGTTTGATGCCATTCTCAGTTTCGAATCTGCAATGATTCGTTTCACCGCCACGTATTATTATTTAAAATAATATACATATATATGTATGTATATGAGAATTATTTGTATACATTTAATAATTATTATTATGCACCCACACAATATGCATGTTATTACGTAATTAACGTACGAGCACATACATACACATAGAGTTTCAGATCGGAATTATCGGAACATTGCCATCCACAAATAATAATTGTACATTTTTAGTGAAAGTCGGGGCACTCCGTGACTTAAGACTGAGATGCATAAACCACAAACAAATCGAATGTTATGAAACAAGAAAAAAAAACGATCACTTTGAAAATGAATATTAAATATGCGCGAAAGGCTGATAACGATACGAGTACCCGTTTTGCCTACTCCAAACGCCTTTTTAACATTAATATCCCAGTTTACACAACCGTATGCATAGAATACTGTTACATATTAATTCATAAATTTAATATTTATAATATAATGATACCCGGAGGTTTAAACCTGCTCTTAATTACTGCGATTGTTAATGGAAATTACAATTATTTTCTCATAACGCATGTTTACAGGCACAATCGCATGTATGCACTACGCGGTATCATTTGTTTGCCTTACTACATGACATAACTATATAACTACGTAATTATATACAACAACGTGTTTGATAATTCTTAAATACGTCTTCTAGTGTAATATACACACTCTGCGTGTGTACTTTCTGTAAATGAAATTTTGTTTTAATGAATTCGTAATGTAGACCTAAGGCGGTTTGCTGAGTCATTGCAGAGATAACTGTAACCTCGTTACATAAACGGAGTACCAAACTAAAAAAATTAGAACATCATAATATTCGGATTCATATGCATTGTATTGTTAGATTTAACGACGTGTCTTGTACGAAATGTAATATGTAGTATGTTATTGATGTCTAAATGCGTCTTCGAAATACATTGTCCACAAAAACGTTGATATACTGTAGACATGATATGGCATCCAATTGTTTTGCTAACCAAGAATGATTATTATAAAACATAATATAATGCATCAGTGGTTTTCATGAAATAACATATTTCTAATTGTCGGGTACATCTGACAAGTGTTCAAAATGAGATTGAAACTCAAAATTAAATCTACTGGTCAAAAACTCGTTTGTCTATAATTTAGCTTGTTTATTTATCATTTTTTTTAAATTTTAAAACAAGAGCATAAATACACCAAAAATGTATTATATTAAAATAGTTGGGGCGATATGATTGAATAATATCAATGCAGAACAAACAAATATTTAAAGACATGTTCGACAAAATTCTAACTTCAAATAATCATTTAGAGATTGACAACTAAAAACATAATATATACATATTATACATAGATAATTATTTCATACTTGTTCTTGAAAGTTCCATCATAGTTTACTTCTTTTTCTTGGCTCAAGATGACGGCCCTAGATTCGGGACCTTGCGCAGGGTAGGCACTAACCACAGCGGCCAACAACAACGAAGAAAGGACTAATGTGACCTGTTAATTACACGCCAAACGTAGTATCCAAAACATACCGGTAATCAGTCATTAAACTTTATGAAAAAAAATTTTAAATTCTTACCTGCATTTTGGTAGTTTGTTTTCTTGATGTTGTACAATGTTCTACTGAGTACTGTACTATGTGTAATGTTTGAGAATAATGATGAAGCTGTCTTATATATATATACAAATGTGAATCTACACACGGTAATAATGATGGGGGTATTATACCTGTTTAGAATTTACCATAATAGTGGAGGCGGTACCCACCATCGAGATGAAAGGTCGTTATGTCAGTGGGTTATGAAAGCGGTCCGACGACATTTATTTTAGCACAGGCGCGCTATGGGAGATTGTGATATACATGTTTCGAAGAGATACAATCACACGCGCTCACATTTACACTTACATGTACGTATATTTAAAATAATAAAAGTGTTGAACAGAATAACTAATAAGGGATTACTTAAATGTGGTTATACGTTCGGCACAGGAACAATTTGTCCATGAAAAATAATTACGCCGATATGTTCCTAGTACGACTTCTTGAAAAAAATAAATACAACTTTATTTAAAATACACATTTTTTCAAATACCTATTTTTGTTTTTAATGTAATTTAATATATAATTCTGAAAATTGGTTGTTACATTTATTTCATAGAATATTTTATATAATGATAATAATTAAAATGAAAATACAATGATACGTATGTTTAAATTTCAGCAAAATACTTATACTTACTTGATTTATGTGTTCATGAATATACGATGGATATAGTGTATAAGTAGACAAAGAATAGCAATATTGTTTTTAGATATTTTGAAACTTGATAATCTATATAGCTAACGAAATAGTCTTTCACAGATAAATATATTAACGGCCAAAAGAAATTGTTTAAAAACATACATAATTAAAAGATGAAAGTTCATAAAAATAAAAAATTATGTCATTAGTTTCTAAGCAATAAACTAATATTACTAATTCGAATAACCAATCATTTTATGAAATCATTATTCTTAATATGTAGAGCAGTTGCAACTACTTTTTTTAGATTTATTAATGTTAAATATCAATTTATAAATTGGATGTATTTTATTATTATTAGTTACCAAATTAACTCTTTTGTGTCTATATCATACTATTAACTTATATACTTACTTATTTTACATTTTATTTGATTATTGATGCATATTTTAAATACAAATTATAACAGTTACCTAGTTACTATACACTGTATTATAATATAATATTAAATTAACTACTGTCAATATTAATTTATTCTCTTACATCTTACGATGAAGTATAAAATTTATAATTTTAACGTTCATTACGCAGTATATTTTTGATTACTTACTAGTTACTGGAAATATATCAACGCACATCGAGTACATTGTTGATGGAAAAAAAAAATTAAATTATATAAAACTATTAAATTATAAAACGCTATAATTCTTAGAAAACTATACAATGCAATCCAACCAGAATTTTAGAAACTTATTTTTATTCTGATCTAGTAAAATCAATTAACAATTAAATATGATATGAATTATTGTATAAAGCGAAAAACATTGACATATTAACATATTAATTATAGTTTTATTTAATTTTATACTTTGATACATTTGGAACTCAAAAATAAATATTTTTATTCTTGTTATTTAAATAATTGATTAACAATTTTTTACTTTCAATTGGTAACTTAATTTATCTAAAACTTTATTAAAATTAAAATTTAGAAGATATATCACAATTTTTATTTTAATAAAAAAAAAAACATTATTATAAAAAGTTAGAGGTCTGGCAAATATCTTTATTATACGGATAGAACCTTTTAACAGTAAAAAAATCATTATTTTGAATAATTTTAACGTATTTAAAAATATAATTTTTACACAATTTTAATTAATTAAAAAATAAAATGTTTCCTATTTTTTATCATTATAATTGTTTGTATTATTTTGAATGATCGCAAATACATCGTGAAGCAGAATATTTATTTGATAATCCTGATTTTAAAATAATATTTTGTTTCAAAATATAAAGTTAAAAATATATTTTGTCATTTAAAAAAGTAGAAATAATAAAAATACTAATAAATATATACATGTATATTTTAAATATTTTTAGTAATGAATTCAAATTATAAAAACAATATTTAAAAAAATCTTTTTTACTTCTTGGTATAGTGAGTATTTACTGTAAAAAGAATCAACGCTATTTATAACTACATTAAATCACTAGTTATTATTATACATAATTATGTCAATTTTAATAATAAATAGCATTGGATGCAAATATATCTTAAAATATTTAATTTACTGTTTTATTTGTTGTTGTTTTTTTAAGGTAATTTTTATTAGGTTAGTAGTATATATTATATTTTGTAAATAGTTATTATATAACAAAATATATTTCATTATTTATTTTAAAATTTCTGTACAAATATAAGAATTAATAATTATACCTATTGATCTTTTATAAAAACTAAATAAAGATATTCAAATAAATGTAAATTTATAGTAACTAACGAACAATTATTTTTAATATTTAAAAATAATATAATTTCTTTTAAAGTTTTTTTTGATAGATATCCATTTATAATAACTATCATATAATATTTATTCAATAATTATATTTTATGTAGGTATTTATATTACATACTATTTATTAATTGTAATATATATACTCACTCATACTTAATAAGTTATTAATTATAAAAATATTATGATGATTACAAAAACAATAAAAATAAAATATTACCTGTGTGTTATTTTCTTCTACTATACTAATCTATACGTATACTAATAATTATTGATAATTTATTCTTTTATCCTGTGAATAAACTATCTTTTGTTGGATAGCCTAATCAAACAAATAATATAGATACCTATTATTCAATAGATGGTTCATTGTTTACTCAGTAAGGCTTAATAAAATTTAATTTGAGACTATGTCTAAAATTTAATATTCATTTTTTGTATTATATAAGAGTACAAGTTTAATTTTGTTCGTTGATAACAAAACCTTCATTAATATCATAATGTATTTACATATTATTATAATATGTGTTGCGAAAGTATAATATTATATTGGGCGATATAAACGCGCGACTGAAATGGTAACAATTATCATCATATGTCTTTGTGTCTTAGGCTTGTCACAGATGACACTTATTTTTCTTCTTATAGGTGTGCCCACGACCAAGGACAATTTAATATTCAAGTTAATTTATACAAGATTACATAAGTTAAGCAACAACTACTAGATCAATATGAGTAAACAATGCTGATTAGTTGATTTGAAGACACGCATGCATATAAAAGGAAAGGTGGCTGTGTATATTGTGTGTTATATGTACAAGGCGTTATTTATACAAAAATAAATTTTTATTTAATTACAAAAATAAAAATTGTATGAAAAAACTATAAATTATTTGAATTTAAATTATTGGAATCATAACATAATTTAATAAGCCGATGCACTGGGGGGCTTTTTGTAAGCTGAAGTACCTTGGCTTTGGTAACCTTGAGACGACTTGTACAACTGACTGGCGGAGGAAGATTGTCCATAAGATTGTTCATTAGCTTCCGCGCCATATCCAGATGGGCCCTGTGGTTTCTGATAACTCAATTGTTTTGGAGCAGAAGTAGATAATTGTCCGTAAGAGCTAGGGCCAGAAGTTTGTGCATAAGACCCAGGGGCAGGTGTCTGTCCATAGGCTCCTGATTCTTGCCCATATGAAGATGAAGCACCATTCTGTCCATATGAAGATGAAGCACCATTCTGTCCATATGAAGATGAAGCACCATTTTGTCCATATGTTGACTGTTGCTGTTGATAGGCTTGTTGTGCAGCTTCTTCAGCAGCGTTCTGTTCCAACGATTGAAGAATTTCAGCGGGTATTGGTGGTGGTGTAGGTAAATGAGAGCCCTTTGGAACAAATCCATTTTCATCAGCAGTATAAGTTACTGTAATGAGTTTTCCATCTTCTCCTGGGTAGCTGAACGATCCATAGACAGATTGAATTCCTTCTGGGCCACCTGGTTTAAGTTGACCATATTCTGATACCGAAATACCATTGCCAGTTTCGTAACTAAAAATATTTATGTTATCAAATATTGATTATTTAATATTATCTATAAAATATTACCTGTATGAGTATGAACCATCACCAAGATTTGGTTGGTTGGACTGAGATAGAATAGGAATAACTTCAGGAGGCCCAGCAACATTTCCTGGTGCAAAAGCGTTATATCCATTACTAGCTGGCTTATAAGCATCGGCAGGCGCGCTAACAAGAGCACTTGGTCCTTTAGCATTTTCATATTCGGATCCAGATTTTTGGTATAATGTAGATGATACAGGCTTTGTGCGGGAACGTTGGCCATATGATGATTGAGAGGTTTGTGCTTGGTATTGTAATGATGGTGCAGATGATTGGTATGATGGTGCAGCAGTCGATTTTGAACCATACGATGCTGATGAAGGTTGATAACTGGATTTTGCGCTTTGTGAATATGTTTGTGCTGCTGGGGTTGATTGGTAAGAAAGAGGAGCAGCGTTAGATTGATAAGATGCAATGCCAGACTGGTAATTAGATTGTCCAGCTTGAGAGTATAATTGTGAATTTAGAGAAGCAGCCTGGTAAGATCCAGAACCAGATGGGTAATTAGACTGTGCGCCTTGAGAGAATATTGGTGATGCTGGAGCTGATTGGTATGAATTAGCACCAGATTGGTAACCAGACTGGGAGTTTTGCGAATATGATGGTGCAGCTGGAGCAGATTGATAAGATCCAGCACTAGACTGGTAGCCAGACTGTCCAACTTTTGAGTATTGTAAGCTTGCTGGAGTAGACTGATAAGAAGCGATGCCAGACTGGTAACCAGATCCTGCGCCAGATTGATAACCAGAGAATGCATTAGTTTTGTATGCGGGGGCTGAAGTTGATTGTTGATATGATCCAGAAGTGGATTGATATCCAGTAGCTCCACTACCTTGATATCCAGTGGAAACTCCAGATGAGTAAGCTGAAACTTCTGAAGGGTATTTTTGGTAACCACCAAAATTTCCTTGATAAGGTGTAGATGGGGAAGATGGTGTAGTCGGAGATCCATAACCAGAAGACGTTTCAGATTCATAACCTTGTGGATAAGCCGCCGCAAAAGCGACAAATGCAATAAATAAAAACTGAAAAACAATAATTTATATGAATTAAATATATTTTAGAACTATAATATCATTATATTTAATCTAATAACAAAAAAAAATATATGAGCACTTTATGCAAAAATTAATTCTAAAAATCTTACTGATATACCCTTATAGAAATTGATATGCACCATACAAGGTAATGAAATTTCGATTTTCAAAAAAAAAAACATAAATGCTTGTAAATTTGACATCGTTATCAATAGAAAAGAACAATGTTTTAAGTCTAAACACTCTAAACAATTAATATGTTTTTGTGTAGTAAATGTTTTGTTGATAATCAGAAATTTACAATCAAAGTTGGTTGGTGTTTTTTAAAATATTTTATATTTTGTACATATTAAATATTATTAATAACCAAACTATTAACAAATTAAAATGCCTTTTTTTCGAATTTAAAACAAATTTTTATGTAATATTTTCGTACAAAAATTACTTATTTTTATAAATAATTAAATTTCTGAACTATATTTGTTTAGAATATGTTTTACTAACTAGTATTAATGGATGAATCGAAAAACTGTTATTCAATAAATAATACCATTATTTGTTTTAATACCAATTTTTAGTTACAAAAAACAAATAATTGTACGTAGTTATCTCTAATATTATTAGTAAAATAATAATATATATATATATATATATATGAAAAAAAAAATGTCAAAAAAATAAACATAAAAAATTAATAGTATTAAAGTTTAGTAGTTATTATAAAATAGTGGAATTAAGAAATAAAAGTTTTTATAGTTATATTTTTTAAACTTTATATTTTCAAAAAATTACTTTTTATACAAATTGAACTTTATATTTTAATCCAATAGCTATATTATTTAAATAAATAATAATCAAAATAATAAAATATTAAAAGTTCTATGCATTTCAAATTTATTGAATTTTATAAATACTCTAATAGATAAATTTAAGTTTCACAAAAAAAAAAAAAATAAATAAAATAAACAACGCAATTATTAATTTCTCTTTTAATTTCAAAAAATTCTTTAGATTTTGAAAGATAGAACTATTAAGAATGTTATAATATTTTTAATTTAACTAGATTTTAAACAATTCAATCGGTGTACATATATTTTTAATTCAAAAAAATGTAAAATAAAGTTTATGTTTGCACTAATGCACATACAATTTAAATAACATAAAATTTGTTGAAAGTTTTTTTTTTACA